AGAACGCCTGCCGTAAGTGAAGGTGGGCATGACAAGTGACGGGAGGCCTATTTTGGGTTTGGACGCAGCTGGGAAATTCAGGCAGCTGTGCAGCGCCAGTTGGTTGAGTGAGCCCAGGCCCTGCCTGCCTTTTTCCAAACGTATCAAGGCAGCCCCTGGGCCAGGCATGGGGCATGAACTGCACACAGGCCGCTGGCAGTTGGACACGGGTATCCACCCCAGGCCCTGTGGAAGATTCCCTGGGACAGGTGCTCAGCCACTTGGGCCCTACCGGAGGCTTCCGTAGGGAGGCCCAGGCCAGCCAGGCAGCCCATGGCTGGCAGCCGCTTTCCATAAAGAAAAGGGCCTGGCCGCTGGCCAGACATTCGGGCACTTGCTGCATGCTGCGCCAGCGCTGCTGCGCTATTTGCAGGCAAGCACCCACGTGCTCACGGGCGAACAGGGTACAAGTAGGCAGCCCTAGCCAGGCTGGCTTGCGAGATGCTGGATGGGGTGCATGGTGGTCCTTGGGTGCACGTGGCATCTGTGTGGAGGATCGAGGTTGTGAGTGATGCGTGAGGCATACCTGGTGCTTGAGGCGAACCGCATTGGCCGAGATCTGCTCGTACTCCGGGAAGCTGTTGACGTCACCCGCGGCATTGTAGATAGGCTAGATAGGATGTGCCATTCGTAGTCTGGGCCCTGAGTGCCAGATAGGGGAATCGACATTGGTTCATTGTTAATGATGATGATACTATTCCAACATTGTCACTTGTGAGCTTTTGCTGTGCTCTTATTTGGTGGAACCCGAGTTGCAATTCTGCTTTTGGTTCGAGGTCAAGACTATCTGGTTTCATGTGTATGATGCTGCTTGGTTTCTGGAATTCGCTATTGCTCATTTTCCTTGCAATACATTATACATTCAGTTTTAAAAAAAAATACGAATATAATACAATATAAATATATATATATACATAGAACTATCAAAAAAAGAATATAAAGAAGATCTTCTATTATAAGTAAAATAGAAATCATTCAATTAATTGAATATTTGAAAATCTATGAGTCGGTGAAACTCCGACGAAACAGTTTGTCACAGCCCCTCGTTTGTTGTCCTCTTCTCCCTCTCTGCCTACGGTTTACCGGGCAGTTCTATTTGACGATATATTGCAAAGTGCGCTCTTTTAGTTCATAGTTATGTGACAATATATATTGCAAGGAGTACGAGTGAGAATGATATAAAGAAAGCCAAGTTGCGAAATCACACAGATGTCCAAGTAGCCGTGTACAAGCAGAGAGCACAAATGCACTGAGATTCCATTCAAATAAGAGCAATACAATGAAGCCATGAGCCAATGTTCATGCCCTCAGGCCACATCAACCCAGTATCCAATGTCACTCCTCTCTGTCTAGCGCCAAGCGCCCAGCCTACACTACTTGCCTATCCTACTACATCCGCATTCAGCAACAGGCTGACTTCGACTTTGAAGACCAATGTACATGACATCAACATCATAGCCGACCTCCCTCATGCACCAGGTACGTATCTCGTCTCCCCTCATCAGACCCTGACCACCCACACTCGCCTCCTTCCTGAAGACCTCCGATCGCCCTCTTACCCCCTAGCGCCCTGCAGCCCGGCTATGGCTGCTCGCGCTCCGCTGCCGAGCAGCGCCCCTCTCACCTCTCACGCGCCCGCAACCGCCCTGGCCATTAGCGCAGCATGCAGCCTCTCGTGCAGCAACCGCATTGCCTGGGTGGGCCAGAATTCCCGACTCTGGCTGCCTCCTTCCCTATATGGAAGTGGCAGCCTCTGTTCGGCTGCATGTGGCCTGGCTGGGAAGCTTCCAGTAGCTTCCGGTCGGTCCCCAGTGCCTGCGACCAGGACCAACTGTGCAGTTGAGGGCCTGGGCCCTTTACAGTTGGGCACGGCCAGTATTTCCAGACTTGAGCCGTTTGCTGCATTTGCAAAGGACCTGGGGTATATATGTCGACGATGCTGCTCTTTCAAATGCCCGTAGCCACTTCGTGATGTATGTGCCCTGCATTGTGTGTGTGTGTGCCCAGGTGCAACTACCAAGGCCTCGGCCCAACTGTACAACGCAGCATAAGGAGGCTCACACTTCCACTCAACCAACTGGCGTGCTGTAACTGCCTGAGTACCCACATATGGAAAATGTTGAATCTTGGACTCTAGTGAATATTCAGGCCCGCCTTCACTTAGGGCGTGCACGGGGCTTGCTGAGGGCCTCTGCCCAGAACATGTGCATGTCTGATAAGGGCCCTGCGAGGGCTCATTCCTCGCAATATTATATTGATATTGATTAATATGAATACATATTGTAGATTGTAGATAATATTTATTGGTATTTTTTGTAGAGAGTATTAAAAATACTATTAATTGTTCTGTTTATCTGAGTGAGGACGCTGCCCGGCCGGGCCTGCCCTGCCGGGCTGGGCACAGCTGGTTGGGCCCGGGGTGGCCTCCCGGGTAAACCGGGCGGGACAAGAAAACGCCCAGAATTTTTCATTTTTTTTTGGAACCGGGGTCGTTCTACGCTCGGCAAGAGGACCCCGAACCTGCAATAAAATTTTGGTTTTGGTGGGTGGATGAGGGGTTGGTCTGGGTGGGGGGTGCTGGGGTTGGAGGGGTGTCTGTGATGAGGCGCAGATGCATTTTTTTCTTCTTTTTTTTTTTGTAACGGGTCAGAGAGAGAGAGAGGGAGAGAGAGAGAGAGAGAGAGAGAGAGAGAGAGAGAGAGAGAGAGAGAGAGAGAGAGAGAGAGAGAGAGAACAAATCCCCTTATCAGGGCTCAGACGGCCCATGCAGGCTATCTGAAAGGTCCTTGCAGACATGTAGCCCAGACCCCCCCACCAAAATCGAGGCAGGCAGTGAATATGAAA